AGCGACAAATGAGTGGCAAAAAGCTTGGGTTCCACTCAGATGAAACGAAGGAAGGCGATCGAATAACTTGATTCAGAGCCCCGCAGAAAGAGCAAATGTTCCTGACGAGATGCAGACGTTTGCAGAATTTCAGACGCATGAGTAACAGGAAGCTACTATAGTAACAAGAGCAACGCTACCAGTAACAAGTGCATTACGACTAGTAACAAGAAGCTACTAGTAAGAAAGTTGGTAGGACTCTAGGCCCAACGTTCATCACACACTTTGACATTGGGTTTTCAGTTAACTCAATTCCCCGAGAAAAGGAAAGGCTCAACGGCAAGGTGAAGCGTCCGATCACTTGAAGGTGTTTGAAAAAAGTGTTTCTCGTGATGCATGACTGTAGAAAATGAGTTACTGATTACTTAGCAGACCGAATTAACGCTGTGCATGGAAACCTGGTTTGGGGGACGTATCATGCAAACCACCATGAAAGCAAAAAAAGAGAGAGAGTAGAACAGCTTGGACAACAGTTGATCGCAGGTACGTTTGCACGCAGGTGGGGGGTGTCTTCGTTGGCCGGAGACCCCCCACCTGGCTCCGGCCCCCTGCGTGTAAAGACTCTTGGAAACAGAGTGTGACACACACACTCAGCCGCTTTGAGGCGCTCCGACGAAAAAGTCTAAATAGGCACCTAAAAAGCCTTAGAAAAGAAAGACAGAAAAACAGAAAGAGCAGCGCTAAAAGGGCAGGAGAGAAAGATAGGTGTAGCAAAAGGTGAATACTTAGCCCTTGACTGGGGCAGGGAAACGAGCCTCAAGAACCACCTAAAAAAAGCCTGAAAGAAAGCCCAAGAAACGCCGAAAAACACAAAAAAAAGCGGGGGGCAGGGAGGGGGTGTATGTCCATGTGTGTCTGAATACTTAGCACTCTAGAGTTACCGATTACTTAGCAGAAACTAATTAGGTGCAAATAGTTAGGGAGCGGGACTTTAGTCTTAAACCGCCCGGGCAGAGTAAACTAGAACAGGGACAACAGAGGGAAAGGCACCGACACACAAGTGTGTCGAGTACCATTTCCCTCTGTTACCCTAATTAGGTGGGGAGTAGAGAACTCGGCGGAGGGGGTTTGTGTGAGCTCATTCTCGGCTTTGACTTTCCGTATACCCGGCGGTCGTAAAAACCGTGGTGCCCGGCGGCTTGGATTTTGGGAATACAGTGGTGAAACGAAGTCGGTTAAGATAATCCAACGTGTGCAGAAAGCAGCAAAATCCGTTAGTGATACTCCAGCATGAAACAGCGCCCCAGTGACGGGGATCACACCCTGCACCCAAGTGGGACGGCAGAGCGGCACACTTTGACATTGGGTTTTCAGTTAACTCAATTCCCCGAGAAAAGGAAAGGCTCAACGGCAAGGTGAAGCGTCCGATCACTTGAAGGTGTTTGAAAAAAGTGTTTCTCGTGATGCATGACTGCAGAAAATTCTATAGTTACTGATTACTTAACAGACCGAATTAACGCTGTGCATGGAAACCTGGTTTGGGGGGACGTATCATGCAAACCACCATGAAAGCAAAAAAAGAGAGAGTAGAACAGCTTGGAAAACAGTTGATCGCAGGCACGTTTGCACCCAGGTGGGGGGTGTCTTTGTTGGCCGGAGACCCCCCACCTGGCTCCGGCCCCCTGCGTGCAAAAACTCTAAGCAGAGTGTGACACACACACACACACACACCCATGGGCCTCATGGTCTTGGTTGGGGAGTCCAAATGAATTGGGAAGTGAAGATACTCCGAAGGTCCCATGTTTTTCAAGACCTAACATACAAAATCGAAGAACAGTTATTCTTCAGAATATCGAAGGACCAAGTGCTTGTCTTTTTGGGACGAACATGAAGTTCCACCAATCCCGCACTTCAATCAGTGCCGTGTTTGCCGGAAAACAGGCACAGTCATGTTTTTGTTGGTTCCTTCAATCTCCCACCAACAACTCAAAGTCAACAGAACAACCCTTCAGACCACACCACTATGTCCCCCAGCTAACTTCGTTGCATCGAACCGTTGCATGTCCCCCGGGCGCCCATGGTTCGGGGCCGCCACCCGAGCACCCCGTGAGGCGCTGCTGCTCTCCCGGGCAGACATCTTCGTTCGTTTGGTGGTCTCCCGGATGCGAGGATGGGGCGGAAGTGGTTTTACATCCCCCAGCGAGGATGCCAGAAGCGTTGCGAGGTTTGAGAGGTCCGAGGATGTTGGACGCTGAAGAGCATCCAAAGATATCCAAAGTTTTCTTCTTGACATCCAACGTCCAACATGATGCTGAAGATGATGTTGACATCAGCAGAAACCTCTCACATCCCAAAAACTGGGCGCTGCCCATCCAAAGCTTTCGACGGCCATGGCTCCCAGAAGACCGACACTCTCCACCAAGTGGTAAAGGTTTTGGTCTTCAAGTTAAAGGTGATCTTTACAAAAATGACATGACAACAATGGGATCAGCTGGGGTAGATCATCACATTTGTGCTGTATGGTATGGTTGAATATATATCATCATTTCATACATGTTCAATCATACCCGCCCAGCTTTAAAAGAAAAACACAGAAAGAGTTCTCACTGAGCGGAATTATACTCCGATTGAACATATTGTCCCGCTCTTTGAGGACATGTTTCGATCGCCCAGGACTGTGGTTTTATCCAGCGTCCGGGCAGCACCGGTTCGCACTGTCCACGCAGTCTCAACAGAAGGTTTCACTCATGCACCGGCACCGTCCGGTCTCGTGCATACCACCTGCAAATACACCACCGGTGGTATGTACCGTGCATACATGGGAGTCGTGAAGTCCTTTCAGAGTGCTACAGAAGTATCATACCTTTCGTGGTTTGAGTCCTTAGGTCTATTGATGTCTATTGTAGCGTTCTGGTCGCTGACCCCAGGTGGGCACCACCGGCTTTAGTGCGGCACCTCAGTGTCGGCGTTGGAAGCAGTGAAGAAGATCAGAGAAATGGATGACCCTCTTTTGTCTTTATTTAACACGAATGAGACTCGGCTCGAGAACTTACCAGCAGTGGGTCCGTTTTTCTACCGAACTCTCGAGGGGCGGTTCCGTGTAGTGCGATGGACTGGTTGGATGACCTTATTGGGCCTGCTCACGCGGGCACAAAAACGACCCAGGTTCTGAGGAAGTCCGAGGTGTCACCAGCGGGGGAACGCTGGCAAAGCCTCGCACACGGCCAGTTTTTTTGGGTCCGATCCCATTCTCCAGCCTCTGTGAATGATGTGGTCACCTTCTACAGTTGGTTGGTCACAGGCTTTTCAGATGGAGAAGTGTTCATCGAGTGTGGCAGCGAAGGAGGGGTCATTCCATGCTCAGGCTGGTCTTCAAATGGACCCATGGTTTCTAAGGACATCGTTTCGCTATGTGCAGGTTTGGGGGGCATTGACCTCGGAGCGCACCGAGTTGGATGGAGCACTAAGGTCATGAATGACATCAGTGAGCTGGCAACGTCAAGTCTGGCAGTGAACTTTAGTTCGGAGGCCAATGTCATTAAGGGAGACATCCATGAGGAGACAACAGTGAGGGCGATCCATGCATGTTGCTTCAAATCGCCAGTCACTATCGCCTCTGGTTTCCCTTGTCAGCCCTACTCTACATTGGGCAATCAGCGCGGCTTCGAGGACAGCAGGGCCCGGGTTCTGATCGCCATCTTGAGGTGCGGGTGGCTTGTCCAGTGCGAAGGCCTGATCCTAGAGTGCGTGGCAGGAGCTGGAGAGTGCAAGGAAGTCAGGACATTGCTCAAGAATTTCTGTTCGAAGCTTGGCATGCAATCGGTTGATGGCTTGATGAGACTGGAGCGATTGTGGCCCTGCAGGAGGTGTCGCTGGTGGTTCATTGGCACTCCGGCAGATTGGACGCCAGTTCGCTTTCGTGATCTGCCTCAAGGCAACTGGAAAAGGGTTAAGGACATCTTCCATGCCTGGCCAGTTTGGGACCCAGCAGATGAGCAAGACCTTGCCTGGGATGACATTGAATGTGCGAAGTTCCGAGACATTAAGTTTGGCAAGACAGATAGGCGTCTTCCATTGAATGGTGTTGCACCCACCGCACTGCACTCTCAGGGGGCGCATTTCCGGCCGTGCCCATGCGGCTGCAGGGCAAAGGGCTTCAGCGAGGAGCGATTGATCACTGGCGGATTGCATTGCATTGAGGTTCGATCAGGCCATGATGTGTCGGTGCCCCGCCACCCCCATCCAGCGGAGCTAGGCTATCTCCAAGGCATTGACCTCGGCTATCAATACCTCAAACCCGTGAAGGATCAACTATGCCTCGTCGGCCAGGTTGCATCACCTTTCCAGGCTGCTTGGGCGTGTTTGCTTGTTGACGAATCACGTCCGGATTCCAACCAGATTGACATCGAAGGGCAGATCCTCTTGTTCGCCCAGGACATCATCTCCCAGCGAGACGAGAAATGGGTGTATGATTGGCCTCATTCGTCTTTCGAGTGCAAGATTGAGTGTCTTCATGAACCTCCGATAGTATTCAGGGCAGCCAGTTCAGCCACAGTCCAGGACTTCATCCAAGCACAGCAAAGTCTCGCAAAGGCAAGCGAGGTGCATGTTTTTCGCCATGGACGCCCTAGTCTCCCAGAAGATTTGCTCCGGGCTGGTGAATTCTACTGCTCCATCCAGGAGGCTGAAACAACCAGTTATCAGATTGAGCTGTCTTTTTTGTGGTGTGGCCGCAGGGAGAAGGTAGTTTGCGCGGCAGGCACTTGCCTTTTCGAAGTTGTCCCGAAGATCACAGATGGTGAAGAATGTGCTGTTTTCCTCGAAGGAGCAGACACTCGCATTCCTTTCGATGCTCCACAATGGTCGAATGAGTGTTATGAAATTGCTTCATTAGTGCGGGGCCTGGGCCACAAGACAAGTTCGGTACTGCAGCAGCTCCTGAGATACCCGGACCTGCAAAGATGGTTCTCTGACCGGAGAGCGGACGGGACAGTCCACCCAGGCTTTGATGGAGGGCTTGATGATGTCACTATGATGTATGCCACAAGGGCATTGATTGAGATTGCGGGTGCCACGGATTTGCACTTTGTGTCACCTCGCACGACTGCTGCGTGGCTAGGCATGTCGGCCAACGAAGAGAGGGATCTTGTAGGCAATGAGATCGGGTACTTCGACGGCACCAGGATTCTTGCTCTTGTGGGCCAGGACAATCACTGGTCAGTGCTGGACTATACCATGCACGATGCTGGGGCCGAGGCTACATGTGTCGACGGCATCACCGACAGACTGCAAGCACAAGTCCAATCAGTTGCCAGCATTATCCATGGACACTTCGGCTTTGGACCGATCAGTCACGTCGCAGCTAGCTGTTACCATCAGGGCAAGGACAACACATGTGGGGCTGTTGCACTTCTCCACATCGGGTGGCGACTTGGATTGTGGCACAGCTTCGACCTGGATGACGTGAAGTCGTGGTACTCAGTTCTGCGATGGGGTGTTCCGTCGATCAACTTCCGGGGAGGAGGAGGAGGGAAGGATTCCAAGGCCGACCCACTTGAAGAGTGGCTCCGACCATTCTTAGAGGGCAAAGGTGTTCCAAAAGGATCAGGTCGCTTCCAGAATTCAAGCAGCCGTCAAGGCCTTGGGCAAGGAGAACATCGAGGATGCCATTCGTTCCAAGAACCCATGGGCTCAACTGAAGTCGATAGGCAATAGCAAATCTCGCCCATTTCTGTGGGTGCACTATGATGAGCTCCGCAATCACATTGAGGAGAAAGGCCGTGACCGTTGGGGAGCGGCAGTTGACGTTCCCAAACGAAAGGGAGTTGGAAAGGGCAAGCAAAAGGAGATCAAGCTTGAAGTTCTTTTGGATCCACTGAAACTGGTTCTAGTGCCCGGCATCTTCGAGGCAGCAGGCTCTGAGATGAAGCAGATTGACTTTGACCAGGTGCGATCGGGGGCCACTGGCATAGCTTTCTGCAAATTTGAAGAAGCGGTTCCATACATCGCCGATGGCAAGTCCATTAGCATTGGTCCTCTGTTGCTGCTGATCATAGGTGGCGAGCAGGTAGACGGAGACAGACTCAAGCCCATAGTGGTGCCAGCAAGGTACCATGGAACTGAGGAGCCAGTGCTTGTCAACTGCAGAGCTATGCAACTTGGGGACATTGAGATCAAAGAAAAAAATGGCCCAGCCCCTGAAGTCGGTGTGCTTCCCACCCGAGTTGTCAGGATCCAGATCTTCAAGGATGAGGTTGACGACTGGAAGAATGTCTCGAGCAGGCCACTTAGGCACCTTACAGAGACACTGGGGGCGCTGCAGCAATGCAGAGATGGGGGCTGTGATGGAAAGTGTGGCAAATTCCATCCAACGGTTGAAGAAAATGGAGCAGAATCAGCGATCATCGACCGCTGGGGCTGGCGATGGGCGAAGCTGGACGGGAGGAAGTGCTCGCAAGACGATTCGGAGGTGCTCTCAATTTTCTTGCGAATCCCCGAATCTATCTTCTCAGCCTTGATTGCCACATCAGGACAGGGCGGCATCTATGTGGAACCCAGACAAACAACTGGTGCAGGCTCTGACCCAGCCTATGCAGTGATCTGGCTTGGAGGCATGTCGGCCCCTCAAGTGCAGCATTTAGTCAGGACAGAGGAGCGCATTTCCTCGATCGCTCGCTTGGGATCAAGATATGGAGTCAGAACCTTGGAGCGCTACGCAGAGTCGGTGCACCAGAAGGTCAGCCCGAACAAGCCGTTCTTGAAGGGCAATGTCGTTTTTGTCTTCAGGATCGGACCAGTGCCCGCTGGCTCCCACAGACAAGGATTGCAGGACGCTTTCAAGCAACACGGCTGGGACATCAAGCCGCTGCACCCTGTCAATGGGGGCAATGGATGCGCATGGGAGGTTGGAGCAAGACAACATCCACCTGCTCCTGTCCTGAAGTTGTCATCAGGCTATGTGACTATCACATTGATCCGTTCGACTGATCAGCAAAAGGAGAAACCGAGCATCATTGCGAGCACCAAGACCATCCAGAAAATTAAGGCGGCAGCAGATCCGTCGAGTGCAGATGCTACATGGAGTACAGACACAAAGACAAGTGGGGATCCTTGGTCACAATGGCTGCGGCAAAGAGATGCTGGAGGAGGTGCCAGCTCGGGTTCATCCACAGAGCTTGCATCGAAGCTACAGTCAGTCGAGGAGAGAGTCCGCCAAGAAGTTTCATCTCAGTTGAAGGCAGACTTGCATTCCATAGTCAAGGACCGCGACGATGATATGGGGGAGCAAAGTGCAGCACAAGATGATCGCATCTCACAACTTGAGGCTGACATTCATGAATTGCAGCAACAGGGTGTCAGGGTTGAGCAATGGATGAAAAAGGCAGAGGAAAAGAGTGAGCTTCAGACTCGCCAATTCGATAGGGTCGAGCAACAGATTGCAGCACAGACTGATTTCAGCTCCAGACTTGCTCAATCGCTCGAATCATGCACCACACAGATTGGGAAGCAACATGACCAGATCACAGGAGTCACCGATGAGCTTCATGGTCTGAAGGGCAACCTCGAGCAAACTCTGGCGGGGTTCTTTAGCAAACAAACGGCACAGATCGAGAACATGTTGGCGCAGGGAGGCAAGACTCGGCGCTCCCGATCCAGGAGCGCCAGCAGAGTGCCAAATCTGTGACTAGGGCGCGGCGGGCCTTCTGTTGGCCGCAGAGGGAGGCCGCCTTTCATTCACAGGCCATTCGGTTGGTTGATTTTGGTGTGGACGTGCCTATGCCGCGTCGGTGAGGCTACAACGCCAGGTCCTCCGCAGCAGTCGGTTGAAACGGGGCTGTCTCTCTTGCCGAGCTCCTCTACCTCAGCGCGACCCATTGGGATCGCGAACAACGGTCGGAGGGACGGACCAGTTTCGGCTGAAGGCTGCATTGAGGCTGATGATTCAG